TCCACTCACTCCACTCACTCCACTCACTCCACTCACTCCACTCACTCACTCCACTTTACATCCTGCTAGCACTGCCCGCCGTGGTCGGGATAAGACCACTTGATAGCTTTGATGGTCGTTTCGAGTGTGTTACGTTTTGAAGGTCTCATGCGGATCTGATCGCAAAATCCAGAGCCTCCAAACTTCTCTCTCCGCCTCCTTCTCTCTCTCTCTCTCTCGTCCCTCTCATCCTTGTTCATCACATCATCAGACACTTTGTCACACACACACACGCACGCCATCTTACCACACACACACACACACCTCCTCCCTCCCCTCCTTCTCATCCTCGTCCATCACATCATCACTTATACTACACGTCTTAGCACAACCGCCTCATATACCTTCTCTCCTAACACTTCGTTCTTGACTTTTCATCTCACTACTCCGTCTCCCATGTGATGTTCATATACAATTGAAATTTGTAAAACTTATCATGTGGGGTTATCCGGTCCTTTTATCATGCTGTACTTCAGGCCAGGTGGGCCAGAGGATGCCCACGTCGGTGGCCGGCAGTTCAGGTAAAGAGATTTCGGTGTGATATGGCGGATTATGTGGCATATTGAGAATCATTGAATCCAAAAACGCCGAAGTCTCAGGGGCGTTAGGTAAAAGGGCGTCGGGACACCCCCCCCTCATGATATGGTGTGAATCCTAGGCGTGTGAGACTGGAGGCGCCCTGCTTCTTATAGCAAGGGATGATGTGTGACCTGGAGAACGTTTGGATGTGTTTGACAATGAGTCTGAAATTATCAGCTAGCATACGCACCGAGCGGGCACGGAGCGGTAGCAGTGCCACTCGGCTATCGGCATATGGAACAACATACGTAGTATCCTCACATCGGATACGGGCTGGTAAGATTCTATTGGACCAAAGCATGAAGGAGCAGGCAAGCTCAGTCCAGGTAATCCCAGGGTCATTTCGGCACGCGGGATTATCGGGACACGGCCACCGAAGGGAATTGCAGAACGTCCACACCATGCGGGCCAGGTTGACGCCCCAAGGACATGACCAGAACACAACCCGATGTGGTTCGGGCGGCATAGTAAACGTTGGATCAGGAACTTCCCAGGTACTGAGTGCCTGGAGTGTTTCATATGAGGTAGCAGAATTACGGACCGGGGGAGCGAGGCGTCCCCCGACAGATTTGCTGCCTTCAGACAATTTTTCGAGCTGTTCCATACGGGCACATGAGAAGGCCAAAAGATATGCAAAAACCTTTTTGAATGTATCATGCTCTTGTGTACGCTGTGTACGAACCTGTTGGCACAACAACGAAAATTCTGGATCATCAGTCTGACGCGATTTTCCGGCAACTTCGTCGGCGTATGCATTTCCTTGAATGTGCCCTTCTTCCCCCCTTTGGATTGTAAGACCTCTTCAGTGACCTCTTCATATATTGGATTTTACTGATCCGGAGTCTGTAGT